AACCCTAACCCTAACCCTAACCCTAACCCTAACCCTAACCCTAACCCTAACCCTAACCCTAACCCTAACCCTAAAAATTAAATAATTATAATTATTAATTTAGGGTTATTATAAAATAATTATAATTTATTTTAATTAATATATTAAATATAATATATAAAATATATAAAAAATAATATATTTTTTTATTAAAAAAATAAAATAAATATATTATAAAATAAAGTAAAATAAATTGAAAATAAATAATTATTTTTTTTAAAATATTTAATTTTAAAAGAATTTTAAAAATATATAATAATTAATTTTATATTTATTATAAAGTTTTTTAATAAATAAAAAAATTTAAATTTAAAATAGTTTTTTTATATAAAATATATTTTTTATAAGCTATTAATAATAATATTATTAATAATTAATATATTAATAATAAATAAAATTTAGTAAGTAACTTTTAAAGCAGCTTAAGCTTAACTATATATAAGGTTGTTTTATTTTAAAGCTTAAATATTTTTTATAATTTAAAAAAGGGAGTAAAGAAAAGAAAAAAAAAGAAAAGTATTAAGCTTTATATTATATTTAAAAAAATATATAATAGTTTAAGCTATATAAAAAAACTATTTTACTTAATTAAATTAATAAAATAATATATTTTATAATAAAGGCTAAGTTAGTTTATAAAAGTAAGAATTTATATACTTTAGTAAATATAAATAAAATAATTTTTAAAATAATCTCTAACAATAACTTGTTATACACAGCTTATTTTAAGAGTTATACTAAAACTGATTTCGTTAACAGCATAATAGAGACCTTGGTTAGAGAGGTGAGCATTAACAGCTTTATATTAACTTTAATGTCATCTTGCCCTGATTTTTAATACACATGTCGAGTGAGTAGGTGTCCAAGCCTTTCAGGTAGAGAAAGATTAAAACAACACAGGTCCTACCCTTCCATGTCCATAACTTGTTCGGCCAGGGCGTCACGTTTTATAGCCAAGACGCTCATATCTACAACTTAAAAAATTAGAACAAAGCAGCTAACAAGGATACCAACGACACTGACTTCGAGCTAGAACAACTATCATTGTGTTGAGAGAAACCGTAATTAGAGAATCTAGCTCTACATCTAATAGAGCAATATTAAAATAATGGCAATTGCATTTTTATACTCTCAGTGCTGGTATAATAAATGTTTAATATAATGCGTAAAATACGGACAGGATATATAAGTAGCTTAAGCTGCCTATACTAGGAACACGGCTTTTAATTACTATAAGTAAGTAAAAAGTAAGTCTAATGATGCTATATAATTTTTGCTATTTGAGAAGTAAAGGATTAAGTCTCGAAACTCTTTAATAGCGATATAATGTACTAAAACTAAGGAAGCTAAAAGGCTTAAAGTAGAACAAAGAGAAAAAACACAAGCTTATATATCATACAGCACAGTTAGGTTCTACAGGATTTAAAGATATAAGTAAATGAAACTACTCTTTAAATAAAAGGCTTTAGTCGCTTTCTATTTTACTCAACTAAGCTGCAAGCTTAAAGCCTCCCCAGTTGAGACTGGTGAAAACACCCAGAGGATCATACGATGATCTAATGTCCTTCATCTTGTTAACATTTTCCAAAGGAAATCCAGAGAATGGATTCTGAAACTCCCCAGCATCCCCCATGTAAAGGAACTCCGAAGCTAATCCTCTCGCCTTGCTATCTTCGTGCCAGTAATCAACGAATGAGCGAGCGAAGTTTGTTACACGTAAATCATCTTCGGCATCCTCCCACGTATTAGCAAATTGCCATACTAGAAATCACATTAGCATCAAATCTAGTTAAGCTTAAAGACAGACTTACGGATATAAGTTTCATCATCATCCAAGCCCCAGACATTACCCACTCCGTTGTTCTTAGCAACGCTAAGAGCACTTTTAGGGAGAATGTTCATCACCCAAGTAGAATAAAGACCCTTAACATTGTTCAAGTTTACAATGTTGGACTTCCAATCTTCAAAGATGCGTTGCAATTGATTAGCATCAGCCTTGATGGTCTTGTGTGCGAATTGAACCCTATTTTCTATCAGTTATCTCCTTACAGCAAAAGAGACTTGTTCTAATAAACATACCTAAACATCTGGTTGGGAGAGTCGAGGCTGTTGTGCCATTCGATTGGGGGAACCACAGCATCCTGGCGTAGTGTTGAAGGAAGGGCTGAGAAGTTGGCGAACCTCGAGGGCGGTGATACTGTGCTTTCCTGCACCCCTAACAATGTTGCTCCGAATTCTTGGGTGGACGAGTTATAGCTGACGTTAATGACAGCACCGGCGGCAACATCTGGCTCATCGTGTGTAGCAAAGTCCACAGTAGCAGTGATGAAATCCGGGATGGTAGCTTCGCCAAATAGCTGAGTGGTTGTGCTGATAAGTGGAATGGGGTACACCTTGAGCGTGAACTTGGTGACAAGAGCGAAATTGTTAGCACCCCCTTTCAAAGCCCAGAACAGGTCAGGATTTGAGGTTGAATTGGCTGTGAGCTGAGTTCCGTTGCCGAGGATCACGTCGTAACTGATGACATTATCCATTGCCATTCCATACTTGTTGATGAAATAATGGAAGCCTCCGATCAACTCAAGCCCGGCAACCCCAATAGTCTTCAATCTACCACCGATTGCATATAAACCACGGGGGGCCAAAGCAGTATACACGTCGACCCAGCGATTGCCTGGCCCTACTTCAATTGTAGAGTTGTCATCACTGATTCTGAGTTCGTTCAGCCCATTCAGGGCAAGCAAGACACCCCCGTCGATGTTGTTCGAGCCAGGAAACTGGGAAATATTTAGTGAAGGTGTGTGACAAGCTTGAAATTATTTCTTTTACAAAGAGAGAAAGAAGAAGAAAAAGCAAAGCCAAGAAACAACAGAAAACTCTTACATTCATATGACCACGACCTCGCATAGCAAACTGTGCTTCGCAAGAAGTCAAAGTATTAACAGTATAAGCCACTTGGTCCTTATTAGTAGGCAAGAAAATACATTTAGGCAGAAGATCAGAGCGAATGTCCCAGTAGTTGGTAGCCTCTGCCACATAGTTTGTCGAGTTGCCGAAGAGAGTCAGGTTGGCATATGCATTCGAAAGCTGAGCACATGCACAAGTAGCTCCGTCCGCCAATGAGACCGCGCGTGTCGGAGTAGCATCTCTGCTGTAGACAGCCTCGACGACTTGCGCAATAAGGGGGATTATCAGGGGCCGCATGGCTTTGTGTGCTAGATAGATTGTATTGGTTGCCGTGACTTTAGGATGGTCGGATGAGGATGGTGCAAAGTGATGGAAAGCAAATCAGCAAATGGTTATTCGAGGACATTTTATAGCTTGCTGAGGTGCATTTACTGCAGCAGTCGGCTACAGCGATGGCATAGTGGCTTAGATTGGGCTCTAGTGAGTTCGTGAACCGAGGACTCCATTCTGTGATGCAACGAGACCTGTGGTTTTCTTTCCGTAAATACATGGCCTGCAAGTAGATCAAGAGTCCCACTGCTGGACCCCAATCAGTCATGGCCCATAGCCAATAAAGGGTCTCACTAACGTGGCTAGGCTGAAGATCAGTCACATTATAGTGTGGACGATATAGCGGCATGTGGGCGGGTCTGTTGCTTCGCTTTCGTATTTAGCTAGTTCGCTCTCGTTGATCTTCAAACGGTCGTACCGTTATACGACTGATCCGCTGGCCCCTCCCCCTTAAAAAAATCTGTTTAGATCTGCCATGCCGCAGCCGCTTTTACGTCATTCGCCGCAAGCTCCCATACACCATGCAAGCAGCAGCTTCTGAAAGAGTGAGGAATTGTTGGTGTGCCCTCCTTGGCCGGCGTTGTCGCGTTCGCAACTAGTTCCGGCCTTCGGCCTATATTTGTAGCCTCTTTATCGGAAATAAGATGTAAAAGACCGGTGTTCAGGAGGCACGGGCGCCCACCCAGCTTCTACCGCCCGTCCGCCTAGCCTTTTCCTTTAAGCTACCCAGTAATAATTGTTTTTGTAATCCTTAAACAGACTTAAAAGCAGGAAAAGCGGCACGCGTGTGACGGAAGGCTAAGTTTCAAATACCACAAATTCATCACCAGAAGCTGGCTCGTCCGCTCTGCTTCTGGTAAACCCAAGTAGCTCACACAGAGCCTCAGTCTGAGAGTTTGGATACTCGCAAGGCTGCTTTTCACAGTGGTTGGTGTCCGACCCCCCGTATTCTGGAGCGTGCGCCTGGAAGTTGTTCGGTATCCGTAAAAGACCCTTTGCAGTAACGTTGGCGTTGATATAGGCTCGGGCTTCATCTGCGTTGTCTTGAGGCGAGGCATCCGCCGGGCCCATGTGCCCACCAATGGTTGTCCGGCTCGTCCCTGCAGTTCCATCCGTTGCGCACAGGATCGACAGCCATTCCTCATCGTAATGCAGGGAGACTTTTTCGCCCGGTGTCTTCGGCAGGTATGGTGCGACCGAAGGATCGTTCACATCCCAGCAAGATTCAATCTCGAGTAGTTCGAGAAACTCGCCGACAGGGCCTGGCTTGTCGAGCGCAAGGAAGTGGGTGGTCGTGTTCGTGATATCGGGTGGTCGATTGCGAGGTTTCTTCCAAGTCCTTACAGCTTTTGGTAGCTGTTTCTGTATTTCTCTAGGTACGGGCAAGTCCTGGAAGAAGTCAACCTTCGCGTCGTCAATGTGTTCTACTGTGGCACGAAACTTGACGTGCATATGGCCAGAAAACCAGTATTGAGGCCGCAGGTGATTCAAGACTTGCTCCGCAGGCTCACTTCCAAGATTGTCGGTCTTAGCGCTCTTCAGGAAATGGGGCCGCTCAGCAAAGAGCTTACGGCAGTCACCGTGATACTCGACTCTTCGAGGCCAGTCATGGCTGAGACCAATGTCGACGGCCGAGCGCACATTCAGCAGCTTGGAGATGTCGCAACGCCGGACATGATAAACAGAGCGAACTTCGTCCCTATCGTACGGGAGGCATTCGTGGTGTGGTTTGTTGTAGTCCCCACGGTGGAAGATCCCTGAGAGTCCGGCGATGCGTACCGGTCCGTAGCGGAGCACATTGACCGCGCCCAGATAGTAGATATTCGGAGCCAACCAACCACCATATTTCAACTCGGAGAAGTAGTTCGAAGCTTCATGGTTGCCACCGATGACGAGTGTCAGCACCGGCGCCCGCTTCTTGCCGCTGTAATAGAGGTGAAAGTCGCCCATCTGGCGATATTTGCGTGGCACAGACATGCAGTTCAAGTCGCGTTCGTTACGGACTGCCTGTAAAGGTTGTCAGACAGGCCGCAGCAGAGAGTGTATCTAGCAATCTTGATTACCTGAAAGTCTCCGCAGAGGATCAAGAAGTCAATGTCTTCGATTGTCCATCCTCGAGATTGGCACTTGGACTCCAATGCAGTGTAGATTTGGTTCAGCGAGCCGTGACACTTCGTTGTCAGTTGCGAGGCAGGCGAATTCGCTGGAATGATGCACGACTCACACAGCCTTCCACGGCGATTTTAAATGGGGCCATGATGAGATGGACGTGGTAAAGGGCAATACTTGGGTGATCTTACAGCCACAGCGGCAAAATCAAGGTTGGTGAGATAGTCCTAGGCGCGTTTTCCGACGGGTAGGCCACTGTAGAACGGGGCGGCCCCGGACTGGTCTTTGCAATGATAACACTGTTATTTAGAATGAAAAAATAAAAGGCGTGGAGACAGGATGATGATGTGAGGATTAATTAGAGGGGTGCGAGTCGTGGGATTTAATAAGTTCCACGTTAAATTGGTGAGTCATCCTGGCTTACCTGTTTTTATAGAGCGGAGTAAGATGACAGGCTCCGGTCCGTTACAGCGGTCAAAGACTATGTTTGCCTCCGTTTATTGCTAAACGGAGTGTCGCGTTTCTTGGCCGAAAGTTGGACTAAGGAGCAATTGGGTGAGAAAGGGTTATACTTATGTAAACTGAGCCAATTCACACACACTCGCCCTTCACCGCATGTACTACTATCAGTACTGTACAATATTTAACCCTGGGTCTTTGGGTGTTTACAGGACTTTCCAAGTGCCGCTAAAGCGATTCACAGATGGGCTCAAAGAATTTACTGGAACAGGTATAGGCTAAGCAGGTGCATGTGAAGTAGGCAAAGTAGACGTGAGCCAAGCGAGCAGAACTGTGATTGGATCGTGTTGCTCATCTCCAGTAAGTAGAACGCCAGACTTGGAATTCTGAATCTAGACTTCAGTGCCTTGCACGGGCCATGGAGTAAAAGATTGCAAGAGCATCCCAAGCCAAGTTGATATTTCCAGGCTTGGCCACCACCTGTCCCTACGCGATCGGCGCATAAAACCTAAATACGCCCTCGGAGTCATACTTCTTCTTTAGCGCCCTTAAGCGGTCGCCCCTCCACTCCTCAGCGCCAAACCACGCGGGCACGCCCTCATCTCCATATGCATAGTTAACGTACGCATGCAACTCCTCCCTGCCAGTACCCTCCCTAATTGTCTCCCTCAGCTGGTTTCCCAAGTCCTTAACCTTCTCGTCTTCGGCCGCTCCAGTGGAGTTGTAAATGATGAGCGGCGCGGCAAGCAGCAGGTCCTCTCGGAAGGCAAACGCGGTGGAGCCCGGGTCGCGCTCGCGCACGCCGGCGGTAGCGTAGTCTTCGAACATGAAGATGGAGTTCCCCCAGGGGTTGTCGACGCCCGAGATGGCGGCGGCGTAGATGTCGTACGCGCGGCGCATGGCTGTCACGTTGTAGGACGGCAGGTAGATGGGGAAGCGCGGATTGTTGAAGCCGAAGTCCTGGCAGGGCGGTGATGCCAGAGCGATGCCCGTCCAGGCGGCCAGGTCGCGGTAGTCGCCCGATTGGGGCGTGATCTTGAGAGGCTCTAGGTCGTGGAAGGGCTTTGTGTACACGGGGTCGACGGCGTCGACCCCTTCTTGGAGGATGTACATTATGATTACGGGCTATAAGTGGCATGTTAGCACAGACTTTAAAACACAGGGCCGTGAGTGGCTTACATTGTTGGGGTCGAGCGTTGCGTCGTTCTGCCAGTAGGAGTAGTTTTGGACATCGTCGGTCTGGCTGCCATTCTTGAGGAGAGCCTCGCTGGCAGCCTCGTAGACGGCTTCGAGCTTGCTGCCGCTGAAGACGATGGTCTCGATCGCCCAGTTTGGGGACACGATATCGTAGATTTGTGCCGTGGCCGAGGTGACAATACCAAAGTTCTGGCCAGCACCGAGCATTCCCCACCACAGATCGGACTTGCTGTCGATCGTCTTCAGGTCACCATTGGCGAGAACGACATTGAGCGACTTGAACTGGTCCGAGACGAGGCCGTGATGGCCCTGGAGCCAGCCGTGTCCACCCCCGAGAGCGGGGCCCAAGTAGCTGACGCATTCGCATGTTCCAGTGACAGTCTGCTTTCCTGCTGCCCAGAGACCCTCGGTCAGGTTGTGAGAATTGATGCCGCCGCCTACGGTCACCGTCTTTCCGTCTTCGGCAATTTCGAGGGAGTTGAGCTGGGCAAGGTAAATTTGGATCCCATAATCCATCTTTCCCAGCGAGACGAGAGTGCCATGGTGCCCATTGTAAGCAAGAATGGGGATATTGTTCTTGTATGCGAAGGCAACCTTGCGCAAACAGTGCTGGTTAGCTGTTTTGCATGGACGAATGAATATGATGGGGACAAGGAGAACTTACGGTCTGTGAAACGTCCTCCTCTATCGCAGCAACAACAACGACATTGGGGGTTGGAGGTTCTAGGTTAGACCAGCGGACCGTGAGTGCAGCGAACGGCTCGTCACCGGGAACGTAGACCTGAGCATTCTCACTGAGGTTTGCCGCGAGCGCCTGGATATCAATACCTGCCGCAGGTGTCCTAGGGAACAAGTCAACGGAGACAGGCCCGCATGACACGCGTGGAAGGACAGAGACTGCAGTGCACGCTGCAAACAACAACGGTGTCAGGAAGCGAAAGAACATTCTGCTTATAAGGATTGACAACGTAGTAGTTGACAGAGAAACTACATCCTAGATCTTTGGAATATTCATTCGTTAGCAAGTGCCCGGAACATGAGCTCCAGAGAGGTGGAATTTACGTTGGATCAGAAATAGGCACCGAAGATTGCATGCGACCTAGCGACTCTACACGTGGAGCCGAGTCTCAAAAGGGCAGGAAACCGCCGAGAGTGGAGTCAACATGGTGTGATAGAAGGTATATCTAATGTAGACATTTCATGCAAGAGTAAGCGCTTGTGTGTGAATGCTCTCTTCCACTGCCATTTCTACCACTCTTCTTTCTATAGATCCACTACGAATGCTACTCAATCCTGGTCTAACACAATCACACAGCTGCTCGCCTTTCTATTTAGTCTAACATAAACTAGCATCACCATCTTTGTTAGGACATTCCATGACAGCTGGGTGTTGAGCTACGAAACAGCCGGTCCAGATCGTTTTTATGGGGTTGAAGCCTGTCTGGCTCAAGAACTACTAGCAAATCTCGCGTGTAGCAATTGCCGTGTGTGCAAGCAATGCTCGGACCTTTATCTTGTACGGGTGCTCGCTTGCTAGTAAGTAGACCGAGTTTGGTGTTTGTGCCGCTCGAGCTAGAGCGCGATGTCTTCCTATTGGCCCTTCATCCTTGCTTCCGAACCTACGCAAAATATGGAGACTATTCCTACGCAATGCAAAATGCGGAAGTTGGCAAGGAAGGGTTTGTACAGTAAACACTGTGGCACCTCCTACATGTCATGTTGTCGTGGTGTGGTATCGACAAGCAATACGCATCTTTTAAGTCATCGGTTCACCTGGCGCAAACACTGCCAGCACTCCACTGATGATCGTTGGCCCCCGCTTTAGGTCGTAAAACCCTCATCTCTATAGAAGACCATACAGGGAAATTACATCTACAAAAGTTGCGCGTTAGATGAAACCAAGCTTTCTTTCTTTCCATTTCGGGTTCTATTAATGCCTGGAGTGCTGTTTGATGTTGCAGCCTACTAGTGAAAAGCAAGTAAATTTATAATATCGAACGCAGACGAATTATGTATTTGTATTATAAAAAGTTGTGAAAATCATTCGAATGCCCAACAAGTGGCCCTCGGCGCCGATGTTGCTGCCGACGGTGTTTGTAGTTAGATCTGAAAGCAGTATAACGCTTTTGTGAACTGTACACCACTAATAACCTCAGTAACTATAAAGAGGGAAACATGCTTTCTCGAAAAGAGTAAGTGTTGTCGTGCCCGATATGTTTATTTATAATGGAGCCTCAATCGCAGAGTTTGGTAGGTGGTTGCTACACACTCCGACAGGAGTCAACTTGCTCGAATTTGATGAGACGCCTTTATCCTTCTCTTTTGCATTAAGAGACGTACTTGTTCGCATTTATACAGCATCCTTGAACCCCCGCGATTTAGCTGTTATTAATGTAAGTTTACCACTTCATGTTAAATTGCATAGAACTAACTAGTATAAGGGAGTGAGAAAGATAGAAATGTTACTTGAGCTTATATTCTCACATCCTACTGACTGCCTCTGCAATTAACAACTGGGCCCTACACCGGTTAAAGAGCCACTAAGACCAGGGTCAGACGGTGCTGGGATTGTTCTCCGCGTCGATTCAGGCGGCAAGCATTCCATGCGGGCGATAGAGTTGTCACACACATCGCTGCTCACATTTCGGACGAGGCATTCGCAACGGCAGACGAGATGGTTCAAGGATTGGGCCAGCAAATGGACGGCACTTTATGTCAAACTGGCATATTCCGTGACACAGCTCTGGTACACATGCCGCGGAACTTGTCGTTTGAAGAAGGTGCGACTTTGAGCTGCTCAGGTCTGACAGCATGGAATGCCTTGTCTCTGCGAACGGGGCGTTGTAGATCTGAAGACTTGGGAGTCCACAGCGTTGAAACTCTAAAGATTACAAGCCTTAGTGTTGTTTTCGTTAGCTTAACAACCAATGCCGCTAATCTGGTCTTTGCTATCAAGGCAAAGGCTGTAGATGTTTTCGCTCGATCGATGAATATGTCCACCCGAGTAGACTCTAAAAATATGTTCATCCTCTCAAAGACTTATCAATTTTTTATCCAATGTCTACGAACTCTACCACCTGGTGCTGAGGAACCTAGGACTAGTAACGATACAATATTCGTAGAGTAGGGATGCGGGAAGCCTCTACGATTGTCGAAACCTTAAAGCATCATTTCGTCGACGTTCCAGTGTATGAGATGATTAGGTGGCCGGCGGCCGGGTGCCCTTGCATGGAAAGCATGCATTGTCCAGCGTTTTTATAAAAGACTATGCGGGGAAGTTACATCCACCATCGATACCAGGCAGGCTTCTGTGGGGTTTAGGAAAGGTCTGCCATGCTAACAGTCTTTAGCCTAAAATGAAGCCAAGCGTTGCACCTCGCTACTAAAGGTCCCGAGAATTTGCTCTATAAAGACACCCCGCAATAAGGAGAAGAGCTATATATACCAGCTCGTACCATGGACTAGGGGACGCCATGGCAGGTCGAACTGCTACGACAAGATGCGTACGCTATTGTGGTTTGTTTCATTTGGCTTCGCTGCCGCTGAGAACGGGATCGACGGCTGGCTGCGGTATGCTGCGTTACCAACCGACGTCCGCGGCGACAGTGCCGCTCCAAATTCTATTGTCGCTCTGAACAGCACTACAATTAGCCCCGTATATGTAGCTGGCCAGGAATTGCAAAAGGGCATACGTGGAATTTTGGGCCAGAGCGTCAATGTATCTTATGAAGCAGTTGAGAGCAAGTTGACGATCACAGTCGGAACGATCGAGTCATTCGCCTTGACCGTCAATAACGCCGTGGCGGGCATTCCTGAGCTCGAAAACGATGGGTTCTGGCTGGACACCAAAGACGGGAGCGTCCAGATAGTCGGACAAAATGAACGAGGCGCCCTGTACGGTGCATTTGAGTACCTGTCGATGCTCGCGCAGGGGAATTTCTCGGAAGTGGCATATGCCAGTAACCCGAGCGCCCCTATCCGCTGGGTCAACGAATGGGACGACTTGAATGGCCATATCGAAAGAGGTTATGGAGGCCCATCCATCTTCTTCACATCCTCCTGGGCCATTGCGGATGATCTAAGCCGGGTCTCTCAATATGCTCGACTGCTCGCATCGATCCGCGTGAATGGGATCATTGTCAACAATGTTAACGCCAATGCGACCCTCTTGAACGCGGCAAATCTCGCGGGCCTCAGCCGTATCGCAGACGCAATGCGACCATACGGCGTCCGAGTGGGCATCTCGCTCAACTTCGACTCCCCAAAGACACTGGGCGGGCTGAATACTTCAGACCCGCTGAATCCTACGGTGATACAATGGTGGAACGACAAAGTACGTCAATTACACGAAAAAGTTCCGGATCTGGCTGGATTCCTTATAAAGGCTAATTCGGAGGATCAACCTGGCCCGTTGACGTACAACCGCACACTTGCGGACGGTGCCAATATCTTCGCCAGGGCTTTGAAGTCTCACGGGAACGGCATCGTGATGTTCAGGGCCTTCGTGTATGACCATCACATCAACGAATCGGACTGGAAGAACGATCGGGCCAATGCTGCAGTGGACTTCTTCAAGGACCTTGACGGCCAGTTCGATGATAATGTCGTCATTCAGATCAAGTACGGCCCAATCGACTTCCAGGTCCGCGAGCCTCCGTCGCCATTATTCGCAAACCTGCGCCATACCGCCATGGCCATTGAGCTTCAGGTAACCCAAGAATATCTAGGCGAGCAGGACCATCTTGTATACCTTCCTCCACTCTGGAAGACTATCCTCGATTACGACCTCAGAGTCGATAGCAAGCCATCGGTGATTCGCAGCATTTTATCTGGACAGCGATTCAACAATTCTCTAAGCGGTTACGCGGCTGTCGTAAATGTCGGCACGAACACGACGTGGCTCGGAAGCCATCTGGCAATGTCGAATTTATATGCTTACGGTCGCTTGGCATGGAACCCTCAAGCTGACGAAGTAGCTGTGCTGCAGGATTGGACGCGTCTCACCTTTGGATTTGACGAGGCCGTCATTGACACCATCACCAAGATGTCCCTAGAGTCATGGCCAGCTTATGAGAACTATACGGGCAACCTAGGGGTTCAGACACTGACGGATATCACTGGCCCGCACTATGGTCCAAACCCAGCTTCGCAGGATGACAATGGCTGGGGCCAGTGGACACGTGCGGACGCGGACTCGATCGGAATGGACCGAACAGTTAAAAACGGTACTGGCTTCTCCGGTCAGTACCCGCCAGAAGTCGCGGCGATATACGAGGATGTTAACACTACTCCCGATGACTTATTGTTGTGGTTTCACCACGTGCCGTACACCCAGAGGTTGAAATCGGGCAAGACCGTCATCCAGCATTTCTACGACGCGCACTACGCTGGCGCCGAGACGGCGCAGACGTTCCCGAAGCAGTGGGCGGCGTTGAAGGGTTTGATCGACGGCGAGCGCTTCAACGACGTCGCCTTAAAACTAGAATACCAGGCCGGTCACTCAATTGTCTGGCGCGATGCCATCACCGAGTTCTATTTCAACAAGTCCGGCATCGCCGATGAGGCTAGGCGTATTGGCAGCCATCCTTGGCGCATCGAGGCGGAGAAGATGAAGCTCGACGGATACAAGCCCTTCTCCATCGTCCCGTTCGAAGCCGCATCGGGTTACACGGCCGTCATGACGACTAGCAACACCACGGCCGGCACGGTGTCCACCACGATCGACTATCCTTCCAGCGTGTATGACATCGCGGTCAACTATTACGACGGAGTCGGCGGTCGGTCGCGGTATGAGATCTTCCTCAACGACGAGTCGTTGGGCCAGTGGGTGGGCGATCTGGAGTGGAAGCTGGGCCATCAGCAATGGCCGGCATTTGCGCCTGACGGCCACTCCGCGACGCGTGTCACGTTCCAAGACGTCGAGGTCGAGAACGGAGACGTGCTGAAGATCGTCGGCCAGCCGGATGGCACAGAGCCCGCGCCGATCGACTATGTGGCATTGTTGCCAGCGAGCGTCGTCGATTAGATTACTGCGATGTCGTCGCAAGGCTCGAAAGTTGATATAGTCACATCAACTCTTAAAAAAGCTTTAATAGAATTCATTTATAAGAAACATCGCAGTTACGAGACTGATATATATTATAAAGTATTGATTTATATTTAATAAAACCTGTAAACATTACTTGAATCGCGGTTTATTATTACCAGTTATATAAACCATTGCTTGTCTATTATATCTATTGCTTTTTTATATTAAGATTGTGTAAATCGTAGCGTTAGCGTTTATAGCAAGCTAATTAATCTGTTAGGCCTATAGCTATAAGTAGGCCTTAAAGGAATACAGCCTTCAGCTGCTTCCTATAACTAAGCAAGCAACCCACACCTAAATAAACACTAACATCTCTAAACACACATTATATTTAAATATATAACCTAGCCAATACTAATTAATAGTTATAAAGGCAATTATAAATAGCTAAGTATAAAAAAAAACAGTTTACTATTTTAAAACTTATATACTGTTTATATATACTTTTTATAAAGCAGCTATATTAACATTTATTTATATTTATAAACTTATATTTATTATAAGTATTTTTTATAAATATTAATAAATTATTATATAATTAAAAAGATTTAAATATAATAAATATACTTTCTAATTTAATTATTTTAAGCATTTATTACACTTTAAATTAAATATTAACTTTTACTAAGCTTTAAACTCCTTATTTATTCTTATTAACAAGCAAATTTATTATATTCCAGCAATACTATAATATATAAAAGAAAAGCTATTATTTATATATATTTATTATATACTTAATAAATAATTTTAAATATAGCTATACTTAATTTCTTTTACCTATAACCCCTTTATTAACTATAAAAACTTTAACTTTTTTATATAATATAATACTTACCCTTTACTTACTTATTTTATTTTAATACTTTATTATTAATAACTTTTATTAATATTATAATAAATAATAAAATTAAATCTATTTTACTATTAAAGGATAAGCTATTAAAATATAATCTATTTTTTAATATTATATAAAATAGTACCTATTTTAAACGCTATTAAGTAAAATAATTTAACCTTTTTTTACAAAAATAATTTATTACTCTTAATAATAAACTAGTTTATTTTAATACCTTTATTATATTCTATATTAATAATTATAAATATTTATAATTAAAAATAATTTTTAAACGCTTTTAAAATAACTTTGCTAAATAATTAGAAAATACTTTTAAAAGTATTATATTTAATTATACCTTTAAGCTTAAAAAAACTTTATATACTAAAAATATCTTTATAAGTCCTAATAAAAGAGTTAGATATTTAAAAGCTTTAATAACTATTCTTAAATTAACAAACTTTTTAATATAGCTAGCAATAACTCCTTAAAAATACTAAAGTTTAAATAAAGTTATATTTAGCTATAACCTAAAGCTAAAAAAGAATAAAAACTTAGCTGTTAGTAATTATTTTAATATAGAAAATTATTTTAATATAAATAACTTTAATTTAAATAAACTTAATTAAAAAAAAAAAAAAAAAAAAAAAAGAAAAAGAAAATAGTAAAGCCTATTAATAAAAAGTTTTCTAAAAATAAATTTAAAAAAAAGAAAAAAAAAACTAATAGTAATTTTAATAATAAATTATCTTTCTTCTTTAATTTTAAAATAAATAAAAATAAAAAAGAAAAAAAAGGATAAAAAAAAAAAAAAAAAAAGGATAATGTCACGAACGTGACAGGAATAGAACCAGGGGAGCACTGTTGGTCCCCTGAAGGCGCAGATAAACCCCACAGG